GGCTGAAAGGTCTGGGAGCAAATTTTTAATTTTCCCTCTATTTATGGATATTGTGGTTCATGCTGGAAGGTTTACTAATCTGTTACATGAAGAGACAGTTATGCCTTATCTAACACAGTTGTCGGAACTTTGTGATCTAGCCTACCACCACCAGGTGGAAGTATTTTCTGACTCTAAAATAATACATCTTCTCCTCGAATTTCAGTGTTATAAGGCAGAGTTTGTAGTTAACCTGAATAGATCAATCTCCCCTTATGAAACAGGATAAGTCTAAAATCCAACATTTTGTTTTTAAATTTTGATGATGAGCTGGATTCATTGTTAGCATGCACATTGGTTCAGTTGTCAGCTTTAACATTCATCCTTGTTGTAACCGGAGTCTTGAATTTCATTGACTCTTACAGGGGGTCGTAGTTCTTCCCCTATTTGTGGGTCCCAACCCATAATATCAACACCTTGGTATATTGGTACCCAGAATCGATTCTGTCTATATCCCAGGATTACTGCCAGTAACATTTGTGATTATTGTATGCAATCAGGGTCTGTTTGGGCTTAGCACAGAGAATTTCTGGACATGTGGTAATGTTAACCATGAATCCAGGAGTACTACGGGTCCTTGAGTCAGGATTAGTCATTCAGTTCACATCTTCACTACTATTATCCACCCAACCTGTAGTGTTTCTGTCTCCTGCAGATCCTCAGGATTAAGAACTTAGTTCTAGGGCTATCAGAGTTCTGTTGGTTTGGGATAGGGAGAGAGTCATGCTTGTTCTTTCGATGTTTTATTCCCATTGGTTGTTGAGCCTCCGAAAACAGGAGATTGGTGTCCAGTCATTGATCTTTCTCGTCTATATCGCTGCCTAAATTCTCCAATTTTCACAAGTTACTTATTTTTCTATCTGTATTGAAATTTTTTACTGGGATTATGGATGTCCAGGTTTGTTGTAGTCAACTCCTATCTGCACATTTTCCTAGTGGTGGCATACCACCACTATTGGCATTTTTTTATGCACAAGTGTCAGTTACTGTAGTTCCAGTTCTTTACCTTTGAACTCGCATCGGCTTCACATGGTTTCTGCCATATCATACAAGTTTTTCTCATCAACTCCATCCATTGCACTGTGCACACACCATTACATAGATAACTGGTTACTGCTGGCAACATCCTGTCAATTGTCAGAACATCAAATCCTGATGCTGCTTTCAGAAACAACCAAGGAGGCTTCATTCTTACAGCTGAGACATCTATTCTTGCTCCAATTCAATATGTCATCAGTCTTTTTATTTTTCACCTCATCTCTCAGTTGGGTTCAGCTGACCCCCATCCAGCTTAACACTATGGAATAAGAAGCCTGACTTTTACCTCTCCTTCTCCCACTGCATGGATAGTTCTTTCTCTTTTGGGAATGTGGGCATCACTTGTATCCCTCATGCCTTTGGGACAAGAGTAAAAGAGATCCTCTTAATGGTCTTTATGCAATCAAGGGTTCATAAACATTGATTCACTGGATTCTCCAGTTTCCTTAATCGGGATCATTCTTCAATCTCGAGGGGTTGTTAATTTGGGACACTATTAAGATATGGGTTCCTCTACTGCCACCTCATCCAGAGTTCCATCTCTTCAGGGATGGGGTGCATGTAACAACAGTCAGGAATTCCAGGGTCTATGCACAGATGAAGAGGCTTAACTACACAATGTTTTAGTCCTTCTTGCTTTCTTGCTGGTCCTATTAAGGGGAGAATTGTCAGGCTCCTTGTTTATGAATCGTGGACCTCCTTTCCTGGGACCATTCCTATAATATCACCCAGCTAGCTTGCCATGTTCCACAGGTGATGCCAGCAGTAGCAGGTCAATTGTTTCCATCCAAACAGATTCTCCTGACAGAATAGATGGTGCATCGCAAGGTTCTGTTAGACTGGCTCCCATTTTGCAACTCTGACTGGTGGGTTGGCTTCTCATTGGATCACCCAACTACTGGCATTTTGGTCTCCAGTACCACACTTTTGGGCTTTAGCAACTGATTCAGTCTGTCAGGACAGGACTAAATTACAACTCTGGTCCTTCCCTCCAATTCATGGTACCCAGTGTACTAAATATGATTTGTCAGGTTCTGTTGATAGCACCAGATTTGTGGCTCTGGATCTGTTTTTGGATCTGGCTCTTTGGCAGGGATTTTTGCATCTTCCACAATCACCCTGTTTAATGTGGTCTTATCAACTACCATTCAATTCTAGTGACTAAATATTCTTTGAGTCCCCAGTACTCCATGAATTCCTCAAGTTACTTTGGATCCTTGGTACCAAATAATCATTCCAGTTACCTAACAGGTATATTAAGGTTACATTATATACTCTTACTCAACACCTGTTTATGATCTGATTCTTATATGCCATATATCCCCTTTACCTGAAGATTTATTTTTCATGGTTGCTGACCTACAGACATTGTCAGTCAGAGTGATTTGCATGGTTTGTCCATAGACTGCTTTCTCATTCTCTCTACATACTCAGACCGGTTCTTCTTACCAAAGCCACTGTCAGACATAGAAAGGGGTAAATCCTTTTCACCGATTCATCTGATCACTATTTCTCACTTCTATGTCTGATTAGATTTTGATCATAGTCATGTCCAATGAGGGTCTTGAAGGTTTTGTTGCCTGCACTAATACCTTTAGAGATGCTAGACAACAACTTTTTATTCTGGGCTCTCTTTGAAGGCAAGGAATTTTCTGTGAGTCACGTGTAATCAGATTTGTCACATTTCTATGTTCTTAGCAGCCTGGTTGAATTGCCCGCTGGAGGACATTGTGTAGACTGGGATGTGTACTTCCCCCAATTTGCATGATCTGGCAGAGGGGTGAATATTTTCATTGTTACTTTACCTCATTTTCACAGGATCCCACTCTGTGGTGAGTGTTGCCTAGGCAGGTGTGATTATATCAAACCAATTCCGCATTAAGAACGATTAATTCAATATACTTTACACAGGTTGAAACAAGGTATGTAGAAATGAGGTGTTCCGTAAGACCACCTAGAGGTTGACCGGATGGTATTACTGTACTATGCTGGACCACCACTCATGAACTATCATGAGTAAATCTTAAGGGGATCCTGCCCATCCCTGCTGATCATTGGATTGAATAAATCAAATTGGTTTGCTTTCAAAAACTTTGGGAACTTGGTTCACTTATTGCACTGCTCCTTAGGTCTCCCCAGTGTGTATTAACCCACAGATTCTACTAATGGAGCTAGGGAGTCTTACAACATTGGTGGACAGAGGCTTTTCCTCCAGAGTGTTATAGTGAATTCTTCCACTCTTGGAGAAGAGGGCAAAGTTGGGAGCCCTTCTACCCATGTCCCTGGTGGATGTTTTTTCCCCAGTTGTCAGTAGGAGATGCACCAACCTACTCATGATACCGGTTCAGATTTAATGCTCAACTATCTGGTTGGGTTGAGCATGGCTCTTTTTTTTTTTATCAATATTTGTTCAGTACATTGTTCATGGAAGAGGGTCTACTGCCTCCTTATTATTCTGAATGCAGAGTGTTCCCATCCTGGGTCCTTAGTTGAGCATAGTTGTTCCACATCCTCCCCATAATTCTGAGAACATGTGGAATTTCCCTTGCCCACACAGTTGGGGAGTGAGGATAAGTGTTCATAATTCCAGACCAGATGAGGTCTGTTTCCTCAGGTTGAGTAAAGCATACACCATCCTGCCATTCAAGCCTTTGGTGCTTACTCGTCATGAGTCTGGTGGCTCAGAACGCATCACGTTATGGTTTCAGGTTGTGATACACTCAAAAGTGTATATATACAGTCTAATTGCCCTAACCACCAGTGTGGGATATAGAAGCCATGACCCTTTACTTCCAACTCCGAGTAGTGGAATCTCAGTTATCTGTTTGGGGCCTAGCCTATAGTGATGATATATGAGATTGAGTCAGCCTTGAAAAAGTGATAACATTATCTGAATGAGGTGCTTATATACAGTACCAGAATAGAGGGCACATTGACACAGGTGGAGTGTCATGACATAAATATTGCCAAGGGCAATTGAGTGGGGGTATAAAAGACTGGAGCAAGCAAGCAAAAGTGAGACCAATGCTTAGATGGAGAAAGGAAAAAAAACCCTGGCAGTTGAGTAATACCTATAAGAGTGAGAAGAGGTAAGTATTATTGAAAATACATTTTCAATTTAAGAAAATGTTAACTTTTATATCATACTGCAACATTGTAATTCAAATGAAGTGTAAAATTATAAAACAAACTTTTCATAAGCTGTAAAAACAAATTGGAAATGTAATTGTGGTATATATTGTTCACAAACACCTTTTTTTCTAGCAAATGTCATCAAGCTAAGCTTTTATCATTTTGTTCTGATTTATACATAATTTTCCACCAAACTGGAAGCCATAGGTTCTCATGTAGTTGAAAGGAAAAAAAAAGTTTTTGTTACATATCTAGATCACTAGCCTATAACCTCTCAAAGCTGAGATTTAAGCAGTATTGTCACACCTTGACAGCAAAAGTTGAGAAACAATGAGTTGCTACAACTGATAAAGCAAAACTTTTATTCAAGTTACAAGATCAAATCAGCCCTATTTTATTCAAAACTATTTTGACATTCCTCCAAGGGAGGTATGAGTGCAGTATTATGATTAATATTTTTGTATGTAGTGCTCTGAAATCAATATCAAACTTTGTGACTTAAAGAAGAAAATTAAGTAGGAAATTAAATAACTACAATTTTTTGTTGAAAACATTAAAATTTGAAGTATGTGTATATTCTTTTCTTAAATGTGTGTAAGAATAACAAGTTTATTTTGCATAATAGGAAATTTCAGTTTAAAGGTTGAAGAGAAAGTAAAAAGGTTTGGCATTCTTATCTTTTAATTATTTTAAAATATTTATTTCTTTACTATGTATTATATTTTGTAAATAATGATGCATAAAAATGTAAATTATTGTTTGAAGTGTTTTTCTAATTAATTTCTATTCAGAATTCCACTATATGGAGGTGTTCTTATCACAGTTGCTGACACTTTTACATTCTTGTTTCTCGATAAATATGGTCTTCGAAAATTGGAAGCTTTTTTTGGTTTTCTTATCTCTGTTATGGCTGTTACTTTTGGATATGAGGCAAGTGACAAGTTTTCATTATATTATTTTTTTGCTTGTGTTTGAAGGTTAATTATGACAAATATAAATATATAGACATTAACTCTGACTATCTAGTACAACACTGCTGGTGATGTTTAAAAAATTAGTACTTCACAATGAAAGCTTAAATAATAATTTATTTTTCTCAGAATTTTCCACTTTAATTTTGAGAGAATGATTAAGGAAATTCATTGAAATTTCTAAATGCCTTTACTGGTGAAACTATGGTCATGAATAAATGAAGTTTTCATGGAATGTACAATTGTCTTTTTTCTCAAATTCTGTATTAACAGTGTGTTATTTTTTATTTGGTACTTTAAGGTTTTCAAAAGGATAATGTTTTTTTTTTTCTAGTTTCTGAATATAATTGGTTTGCTCTTCTTTTCTTTCAGTATATAAGAGTTGGTCCAACACAGTCAGAGGTTGTTAAAGGACTTTTCTACCCTTGGTGTTCTCACTGTGATTCGAAAGCCTTACTGCAGGCTGTAGGAATTGTAGGGGCTGTCATTATGCCTCATAATTTATACCTCCATTCTGCTTTAGTCAAAGTATGTTGAACTTGAAATGTGAATATTAAACTGATTTTAGTTTCTTGATTACAGACAGTTAAAGTTTAAAAAATTTTAACTTAAAGGATTTCTATGAAAACCACTTGATTTGCATTTTAAATTGTTTACCATGCATTATTTTCTTAAACATAGGACATTACTTATATTTTTCATATATTAGTTTGATTTTTCATAAGTACTGGATAAAAGTTCTTTTTTCACATATAAATAAAGTAATTTCATATTTATCTGTTTACAGATTTACTTAATAGTTGTGTGCAGTGAAATATTTTAATAATAATAATATTATACTAAAGTAGAATGCAGAGTACATATATTTAACTGTTGGAGCTTTTGCCCTAAACCATGAAACAGCAGTCTGAACTACATAATAGACTTTTACATTTAGTTAAGTTTGTAGGAGAGAACTTTAGATGGTTAGATTCTAAACTGTTTGATGTATTATGTTTACTTGTAATATTAATTGATATTTAAACATAATATTTTGTTTGAAGTTCTAAACATATTAGTCAGATATTTTGGAACTTAAATGTAAATGCACTAATTTGATAATCAGAACAGATATGTGAAACTTTGAATGTATTCTTTATTACCAGTCTCGAGAAGTAGACAGATCCAAGAAAGATGATGTCAAAGAAGCAAATAAATACTTTTTCATCGAGTCTGCCATCGCACTCTTGGTTTCACTTATAATCAACATTTTTGTAGTTTCTGTATTTGCTGAAGGCTTGTATGATAGGACCAATGCTGATGTGGTAAGCTGAAATATTAGATAAAGGTATTTTAACAGGGGTTACTATAATAGAAGTCCTTTTATAATTAAATAATTCATTGTTTCTGTTCTTGAGAATACATGGATATATATAAATGTAGAGAGAGAGAGACAGCAAGTGTTTTCAAAGTGTAGGTCATGATTACTTGAGGGGTCATGGTTCTAAATGGGCTGATAAAGGAGTTGGGTAAATGTGACAAATTTCTTTAATTTCTTTCTTTTTGGCCATGGCATAAAGGTTCATAGAATGGCTCTGATTTGTTTTTTTTCAAGCACAAACTTTTAGTTCATAGCTCCATCATCTCTTGACTGATTTGAGAGCTAATTACAGCTTTGGACTCAGGAGGTCAAACCCTTTCAATTTGACCATGTCCAAGGTCTCATAGAATAATTTACTCTAATCCTGCCTCAAAGAATTTCAATTTGATGGTAGGCTGGTAGAGATCCTGATGAGTAATAAAATCAAACTAAGTATATGCAAACCCCATGCTTGGTATTGCTGGCACACAAAAATATAGCTAATAAAAAATGGAAAAAAAATGTTTCTTAGAGTAATTGACAATTCCTTTTTGTTCTAAGTACATTTATATTCTAACTGAGTTCCTTCTTCTCAACCTCTTTTTATTTGGTTATGTTACAGGGAAATTTTGTTTTCAGTATTCTGCAGCTTTTATGGTTTTAAAATTATGAGATGATTTCAAAATACTGTAAGTAGAACTTTATTGCACTAACATTTTGTTTTAGAATTGATAATTCTTAATTAACTGTCTAAAAAAAATTTGAGAATACCCTGATATAGATAGTATTTGCCTTTTATACTTATGTAACAACTCCATTATTTTACAGGATTCTTAAAGATAGAAGAAAATATTTATAGGAACTCACAAGTAAAACATAATATACTGACAATTCAAACATTGTAGGCTTGGATTTTACAAGAAACATATGTGAACTTCAAATAACTTCTAACTCAATAACATAATTTTGACATCATTTCAAACTTCTAATTCAAAATTATAACCTTGGAACGACTTCAATAATATAACCTTGACACAAAAAGTTATGAAAAAGAAATAGAAAGAAAAATCCAACTTAGAAAATTAATCTGTTTGATAATACAACAGTTACAAACTGTCTGATTAATTATAACTTACAATAATTCTAACTGGATGTTCAAGAACATAGAATATCAGTTTTATTTTATAAAAAAGGGTAAATTTTAGCCTTTTAATGTTCAGAACACATTACTGAATGAAGGTTTGAGCCTTTGATAGTAGTAATTTGCATAACTTACTGATGACATCACCATAACTACTGATTTATATTTGATTGAAAACTATTATATTATAGGTAGTCCATAGAAATGAAATAAAATATTCACATTTAATTGAAAAATATGTAGAACAGTAATCATGTTTATATATTTTAAATGAACCTTATAAATTCATTTATGTAACAAGTGGTTGGTAGGCATAGCTGTTGGGTGGACTTCACACAAGTTACAAATAAATTTATTTATTACTGGGTTGTGCAGTCAAGGGTTATTGTTATATAATAATAAAGTTTAATTCAAAATGTTCAAATATTTATCAACATCAACAGTACCAAAAGTGTTGTGAAATAATTGTACATCAAAATAAGTAAATTCTTAATTTTGTATAGCTAGTTGTTTGTTGAGCATTCTCTCTATGATATTGATCAATATAGATGCTCCAATGAACAAATTATCATGGAAATTAATATGCGATATTGTTTCAGACATAATTATTTTTAGCCAATTTAGTTAATACTTTTTCCAGTAATTTTTCTCAACAGTTATATTAATTCCTCTATTAGTTTTGCTAAATATGAGACCAAGGTATCTCTTAATACTGTTCTCTCCTCAGTCATAGTACATCATTTCCTGGATATGCTGTTAGACTAGATAACTATACCATTAATTACATACAAGGAATTTGTAACAGATTTCTGCTAGGGTTTGAAGAATTGCCATTCTGGAGCATTCTGGTCACTTTGGGATCGATTAGAGAGCTCCTGTTTTGGATCTAAATCATGGCATTTTGCATAGTTTATTTCGTTTAATTACAACTTGTCAAAAAATTCATATAACCCAAATTCGGACATGATTCATCTAACTTGATTGGTATGTTTGTGACCTTCCACCAAAGCATAACCATCTACTAATTGGTTTATATGGAATTACTTCTCAATAATCATTATTTGAAAATAGTATAGAGTTTCAAGCCTGTTAACTCAGAATGTATGGATATGAATCGATTAACTTCGGTCTTTTCACATGTATTCTTCCATTTGCTACTTCCAATCAAAGTTTTACTACTCATTTTTTATAAGGCTACTTCCATTAGTTTGGTGTCTGATATAATAAATATTTGCTGCTTTTATATACTATGATTGTGTCTGTTTGATACTGATAAGAAACATAAGTTTTTACTTCTCATATTACAGTTTGGAATGCATTTGTGACTAACTGATATACTTACTTAACATTTTCGTGTCCTTATCTGGTCAGTTGTTAAGTTTGTATTATGCCCTTGTCATTATGTGCATTCTCCCTCTGTCTTACATGTATATATACACACACATAAAAATTCTAATTTTCAAGAAACTTTCAGCATTTGTAATCTAGCAGATACTTCATTTGTATAGCATACTTGCTGCTACGTATGACACTCATATAGCTACATACAGTAAGCTTGTATTGCAAGAGCATCCTGTTGTGGGCACTTAATAGAACTGCAACTGACTTAAGCAAAACAAATCTTTATTTAGCAGTCATTGTTCCAAGTAGGTCAACGGTAATAGTATTTTTAGCATCAAATTGTTGATTATTAAACATTAAAATTATTAGTGTTAGCATATATTTTTTATGTCATATACCTATGTACTATAACTGTCATGACTAAAACCTCATTTCCCCCCAATGTCAATCATTTGTTGTCACTTTGAAAATAATATTACTCTTAACCTTAATGGGTTGTGAGCCAGCATTCTGCAAAAACAAACTTAAGAGAAAGCTCCACTAAGTGATAGAGAAAAAGCTATGTAAGTATGAACATAATAATAATTAAGAAAATAAATGTATATCATGTCACACCTATACAGTTACTAAAGAAAATATTAACATAAATAGTGCACAAAATTCAAAATGATAGCACAATTGGCTCATTACATTTCTATTACATTTGAAAAAGAAGATAAGGTACTTCACTAATTCCTCACAAGAGGATGCTAATGCCAGAAAAATTCCATTAATTTTTCTAGAAATGTGTGTTCAAAACTGTTTAAAACTGATTTGTACATAAGAGGTAGTTTGTTAAAATAGTGACCCTAGTTTGTCTTTTGTTTACAGCTTCACAGTAAACTCATTTAAGTAATAAATACAAATTAATAATGTAGTGGCTTGGTAATGATTACGTAGTTAACTTATGTAACTTTTACTTAAAAGTGTGGACTTCCAGAGACAATGTTACTATGTAGTAATATTACGTAATGAAACTACTAATATACAGTCAATTTGGTATATTAAAATACCAACATGGTACATCACTATTACCATTCTACTACCTTTCATTGCTTTCTACCTCATCCTAGTACCTATAGAGTACCTTGTTTATACATTTCAACTCCACCCAACATACTTTCAATATATTAATTCGGAAAAATAAGTAAGAAGTAATATCATATACTCCATATCATTGATACAACATTATAAGTAAAAAAAAAAACACACTTTTTTCATCTCTATAATTCTAATATAGTCTCTATTCATCTGAATCAGACCGTGTTGCTGTGGAATTTGGCATGGGTGTCCTGGGAGATTTCAAAGAAGCTCATGCCTGTAAATATAAAAGACCAATTCAATTTAATAGACCAGTACAGCTATCAATAACTCACAAATCAAAAGGTCTGAGATTTATATTTTTGTCTTTTTGCCAAGGACTATAATGTTATGATATGCCAAAACAATGTTGATTAGATTAATAATTATAAACACCTGCTATACAAATAAAGCTGCACCTAAGTTTATGCCAAAAATGAATATTTTGTTTTAAGCAATATGAAACACAGACAAAGCTGGAACAAAGGCAGCTAGAACTAACTCAGTTTAATGACTTTCTTGGCCACATGTTATGTAAAAGCTGCACAGACTTAGAATAAGTGAAAAATTTTGAAAAATTATACATTAAAGTATGAAGGTAAAAAACACATGGTATGCCTGCATACCATAGTTGTACATTACCTGTTGCAAATACATGAGCACATACAAATTCATTCACGTTTTGTTATTTGTAAACCACGTGTATCTAAACAGCAAATGTGTTTTGTATATAGTAATATATTCCATTCTTCTTTTTAGTTTAATTTGATATTAATTGTCATAATGGTTAAATAATCTTTGAATTGATATTACATTGATAAAGATTATCTGGCATTGTTGGCCTAGTATATGGATTTAGAACTAACCTAAGTTTAATAAGTTAACTGAATATTTTCAGATATTATTTGGATTACCTTTGGAAATACTGTTAACAACAAGGGTACCCACCTGGTTATTCATGAATTACAATCTTTATACACTTTAGTTTTCTGTATTTTATGTGATATTGAGTGTTACTAGTTAGTTTGATATACAGCATTGTCTTCACTAATTTCTTGTACAACTTTATACGATCAATTATATTGTGAATAGTTAGCTTACCTTTGATCAGAAGCTCTTAATAATAATTTAATGTTGACAGTTAAAGAAACAATGGCAAGAGATTATTTATGTTATTGAAGGTACTATGCATGATGTTAGAAGTAAATATTATTTGTGCTTTTGTATGTGTATGTGTACTGTATTTGCCTGAATATAATGAACAATTTTTCCTCCAAACACCTCCCTAAAAATTGACTGCACATTATATTTGCCCATGTTCAATTTTGTTAGGTATTTTACTGGAAGCTTCCGTCCACATTATCATTAAAGCATCCTTAAATGCTTCAAAAAATGTTACATATCCAATGCAAGGGATGGGATGGATGATAACATGCTGTGGAAATCAGAAGAGGATAAAGCAAAGGTTCAAGGAAGCAACTCCAATCAATGCGATGAATCTCACGGTAGCAACAATTTTAGCGATGACAAAGATTTATGTGAAGATGAATGATTAGCTTAGTGTATTACCACGTATAAACTTTTCAATAAAGTTTGTAAAATTGACAGGTAAAAAATATTTCAATGAAAGATTTCCAAAAATGTTTAATACATCAATAATTGTTTACTGTATTTAGAAATTATACAATACATTTTGTACAACATGTGTAAAAAAACAAATTATCTTAAATTTAACCTCTCAAATTTGGGTGCACATTATATTCAGGCAAATGTGGTATGTAATGGCAATGTATGAGTAATACATATACAGAAGTTACTGATGATAAGTAATGACAACTACATGGCAAATTTATTAAAGATATGAAATGTTTTCACAGAAAATACAAAAGAAAAGTGAATAACCTGTATAATGCATTAATATTTTGTAAAAATATGAACTATTTACGTAGATCAGAACTGAAAATTAACTGAGGAATGAGTATAGCTAAATAAATATACTTTTCTTATCAGCCTCTTTACTCGATAGAAATATCATTTCCCCATATTGACTATATACTTGGGATCAATGTCTTACAATCTTGCCTGATGAGTCATATTCCTGAGGGAATGACACGATTGATAAGAATTTGCGTGTACTTGTCAATCAATCGGTTGTGTGTAGCTCACTGACACCATTGACTGAGATGCAGGCCCAAACTCCGTACTGTGTATGATATATCTCTCTGCCATTGAACTAACTGTCATTAATTGTTGTTAAACAAGTTGTTATTAACAGTGTGCCAGTTTCTTGTACAGTCTTTGGAGTCCTGTATACAGCTCCTACTGAAACATGGAGTCCCACCACAATTCTTTTCATAGAGTATTCTTGACCAGTCAAAACTTTTATTTTATACATGTTTGTCATGTGGTATCTTAGTCCTGGGAGCGTGGCTGGAATCACACTATTACCACTGGGCATAGTAGGACTGCCTTTTTATTTTGTAGGCTTTATATTTTTTTTAGTTAGATAACAACCAATCACAATGCAAACAAATGGCACATGTATGTACTATAGTTCAGCTCTTTTTCATATTAATTGTTGAAATGTTTATCTTTTATAACTTTTTATGTGCCATTTTTATATTATTTCAAATACTATATGATTTTTTCCATTGTAAGTAAATGAGATTTTTTATTGTTATATAGTAGAATCATAATTTTAGATTTCCATTGCATTAAAAAGTGTGTATATTCAGCTACTTGTCAGTTGGGTGAAGTGAGTATAGCAAGTCAGACATTATAATATGCTGTTACAGATTTTTCTCTTGAAATGTTAATTTGAAATATATATATATATATATATATTGGAAAAGCACAAAAAATTATTGCATTATACATTAATTTTGAAAAGAGAGATTCTTGAAAAGGAAAGTCACAGTGAAAATATGTTTTAAAGCGGAGTTTTGTCATCAATAATACTGATTGACTAAAAAGAGAAAATTTTGTACTATTATAATAAACAGTTCCTGTCAATGTAGAATTAAGAGGAAATTGCTGTTATTTTTTAAAGGTTTTAGAGCTAAAACCAATGAGATATATCTTCCAAATAAATAATATGATGTTTTTAGGTTTTAGAGGCTTAAATAATTGCATGTGTATACATGTTCAGAAGTTCGTGTATAGTATCAGTAAACATTAAAAAAAGGAGGGTTTGAACCCTGTAGATTTGTTTACAAGTAGATCAGAAAAGAAAATAATTTCAGTTAGTGTTACTTAGTATATATGTAAACATTTGAAAATGTCAGTTTTTAAAAGATAAATAAAAGGTTTGAAATTTCTTGCTATCTGCAGATTAGCATACCATGAAATAAATGTAACCTTGTTTTTCATTCAGCATGAACTTTGCCTTACCAATAACCAACTTCATGCCAATGATTTTCCTGTAAGTTGATTTTTGGTTTATTATTTTAGTGTATCTGTGATAAAATATGTTTAAGTCTGTATTATATTATTGTGGGGTTTTCTTATTGCATTATGCTATTCACTCTGTATTACTATTATTGAGTTGTTGCTGCCTTTATTTAAATAGACAGTTGTTGTTCTATTAATGTAATTATTATCAGTTGCGATAGTCACATTAATGTTTGATCTAGACAATTATAACATCATTATTACATAATTACAGTTATTATTTTTATTAACATTATTACATTCTGTCTTACTACAGTCAAACATTACTGCCTGTTGTAAGTCAGTTACTTTTTCTCAGTGTAGTAGGTCATTACCCTTTGCTGTTGTAGATAGTAGTTACTGTGTAACCCTTCATTTAATGCAGCTCTAAGTAGCACAGCAGCATGTCTGCAAACTTACAATGCCAGAAATCAGGTTTCGATACCTGTGGTGGGCAGAACACAGATAGCCCATTGTGTAGCTTTGTGCTTAATAACAAACAAACAATCATTTATTGCAAGATTTTTGCATAAATTATAAATAAAAAAATCTTCTTTCAATTGGAAGCCCAATAACACTTTCAGTATATTCAGAAATTGGCTCAAACAGAAAAACAAGCTCCTTTGTAAATTTTGTTAGAAAAGTACAACCCATATCTACTACAAAATATTCTCTGCAATAAATGTATTTCTGTAGAATCATTCACCCATAGGATAAAGAAAGAACTCATCAGTGAAATATAAGTCTTGGGAATTTAGGAACTTCTAAGTTCTAAACTAAGTACTGACTCTTATTACTGTATTCAGTAGACTCTGTATTACTTTAGACTTGTTAGTCTTTATATTTATTATCTGTTATTACATTTTCACTGTACTTGGTTATTACAATTTTACTTTTATGATGACAGAAGTAGGTATTTATATAATAGATTTGACATAAACTTAGATAAAAGTACTAAAACAGTTTGAAGTAATTTTCTTTTTAAATGTGAAAGGGCCTTGGTGGCTTATAATACAAAAATTCCAAAACATACTTACCTCCACTGACACTATAGCTATTTCTTGATCTCCAGGGTTTCCACTCTTTGCCCATCCAAGCATTGAAAGCACTTGCTCCAGTCTTTTATACCCCCCATCGCAAATGGCAAATTCTAATTTGCAAAATTTTCCACCAACTTCAATGCACCCTCTGTCTAGTTACTGTATATAAGAACCTCATTCAGATAATGCAATCACTTTTTCTCAACAAAGCATTCAGCACAGGTTTCTATAAACAGGAGTGTTGTAATTATTCACAAATTTGCATTATGATTTTGAATGTGGTTGGCATTTCTGCAGTTATCTTTTCATTTATATACACCTGGAAAAAAGTTAAGCACCCCCAAATATTTTTCAGGATTGTTTATTGAA